CAGGTGTGCCATTTTTATTTTTTTGTATACGTGTGTATTGCCTGCATATATGTAAGTGCATCCCATATTGTGCAATGCCCAAGGAGAACAGAAGAGAGCTTTGGATCCCCTGGAACTGGAGTTACAGGCAGTTGTTAGCTGCCATGTGGGTGCTAAGATTTGAACCTGGGTCTTCTGCAAGAACAGCCAGCATTCTTAACTACTGAGCCATCTCTCCAGCTTCTTTTTTTTTTTTTAATTCATATATACATATGTATGTCTATTTGAGTATATGTGTGCAGGTACTCATAGAAACCAGAAGAGGGTGTCAGGTCTGACAGAGCTGGAGTTATAGGCAGTGTGAGCTGCCCAATATGGATGTTAGGAACCAAACTCAGGTCGTCTGTAAGAAGAGTAGGACTCTTAATTACTTTGCCATCGCTCCAGCCCTGCCTAAGTGGGGTTTTAAACTAAATCCAAATCCATACTCCAAAACTAAATGGATCCGATAAAAGATCTGGAAATTTGGTGGATTGAGAAGACGGCTCAGTCAGTAGGACCCCACTTCAAACCCTAGCACCCACATAGAAGCTCATGTCTTAGCTGGGCGTGGTGGCACTTGCCTTTAATCTCAGCATTGGGGAGGCAGAGGCAGGCGAATCTCTGTGAGTTCAAGGCCAGCCTTATCTACACAGTAAGTTCTAGGCCAGCTGGAGCTACAAGGAGACCCTGTCTCAAAAAAAAAAAAAATAAGTAAAAGAAAGAGACAGATTTGAGAGGCAAACCCTAGAGGCTGTCTTGCCAGTTGATACAAAAGTAAGGTTGACCTTGACAAATCAGTTTAGCTCATGTCTTACTTTTACAACCCTACATTAGTAAGTTGAAGCATGCAAATCCCCATAGGTTCTTGGCCACTCAAGTCTAGTGGATCAGTGAGCTCCAAGCTCAGTGAAAAACCCTATTTCAAAAAGTAAATTGAAAACCAATAAAGGAAGGCACCCAATATCAACCTTTCAACCTTTGGCCTCCACATACACATATATACACACACTCATATATGCTACATACATTAATGGTTTTTGTTAAAAAACAAAAGGTCTGTCGGGTATAATGACACATGCCTTTAATCCCAGCATTTTGAGGTAAAAGCAGAGACAGGTGGATCTCTGTGAGTTCAAGGCCAGCCTTGTGTACATAGTGAATTCCAGGCCAGCCAGGGGTACATAGTGAGATCCTGTCTCAAGAAACAAAAAACAAAACAGAAAATCAACAGAAAAACTAGAGGAATAAGAGTTTTATATGTTAGTAAAGCAGTCTTTGATCTGACTTGAAAATTCTAAATGTTAATTTTTGAATTATCATTTTCATCTTCTTTGTTAAAATATGACTTTCATGTATTCTTATTTGAAGATATAAAATACAGTAAAACATATTACTAATTGCAATGATTACTTTCTAGAATGATCTTTGCTGAGTGTTCCCCTAATACTTGCCCTTGTGGTGAGCAGTGCTGTAACCAGAGGATACAGAGGCATGAGTGGGTACAATGTCTGGAACGATTTCGAGCTGAGGAAAAAGGTTGGGGAATCAGAACCAAAGAACCCCTAAAAGCTGGTCAGTTCATCATTGAATACCTTGGGGAAGTTGTCAGCGAACAGGAATTCAGGTAAATAATGATACTCCAATAAAATGACAAAGATTGAAGAGTAAAATAGATAATAAAAGATTTTTAATTTACTTTAAATTTTAATCAGTAATTAGTGGTTTGGTATTGGTAGCATAGTGGTATCTGTGTATCTGCCTTCCAGTTTAATCAGTATTTGGCTTTCAATCATTTCTCTCTCCTTTAGGAACAGGATGATTGAACAGTATCATAATCACAGTGACCACTACTGTCTAAACCTGGATAGCGGGATGGTGATTGACAGTTACCGAATGGGAAATGAGGCCAGGTTCATTAACCACAGCTGTGACCCAAATTGTGAAATGCAGAAATGGTAAGAAAGCACAAAAAGGTGAAGTGAAGAATTCAGCAGAACAAAAGGTTTTGAGGGTAGCTAGAGATTGATCTTCCCACAGTGCCATTCAGTTTACACAAAGCATCTCACCAGATAATGCCTCATTATACCAAATCCTGAAGGCTAACATTACCAGAAAAGTAAATATAATAATGATAATACTAATACTTATTAAATGCTTACTGTCTGCTATATACTGGGTTACATGTATATCAGTTATACACATTGATATATTACATGTATATCAGTTTATATTTCAAGCTTACTGCATGCCAAGGGGATTTGTTACAAGGTATAAAAAAATGGGAAATGAGGCTGGGTGTTATGGCGCCTGCCTGTAGTCCCAGCACTTGGGAGGCAGAGGCAGGAGGATCTCTGTGAGTTCAAGGCCAGCCTGGTCTACATAGTGAGCTCTAGGACAGCTGGGGCTACAAGGAGACCCTGCTTCAAAAAGACAAAAAAAAAAAAAAAGAAATATTAGGTTCCTTTTCTTACATAATTAGAATATGATTCATAAGGAAAATAAAAACTCATCTAAGAAACATTAAAACCAGATATGCTGGATGCTAGGAAATGCCTATAATCCCATCTCTCACCTCCGAAAGCTAAGGCGGGGGTCTGGTGAAATGACTCAGTGATTAATCTGCTCTTGCAGACGACCCGAGTTCTATTCCTATCACCCGCTTGGGTAGCTCACAACTACCTGTAACTCTAGCTAGCTCCCAGGGATCTGACACCTCTGACCTCCATGGGTACCTGTAGTCACATGCACATATCCACACACACAAAAAAAAGAAGAAAGCCAAGGCAGGAGGATCATGAGTTTGAGCCATAAGGAGCTGCATTATAAGACACCGTTACAAAACCAAAAGAAGAAAAGGAGGGACAAGGGGGGAGGGAAGGAAAAACATAAAAAATAATAACGGGCTAAGGATGTAACTCAGTGACAGAGTGTCTACCTAATACATACAGGGCCTTGGATTTAATCTCTAGCATCGCCTGGCCTCTCAAAAGGAAGAAATACAGGCAAGACCACCAAGATAGCTCAGCAAGTAAAGGCACTTGCTTCCAAATCTCACAACTTGAATTTAATCCCCAGAACCCATGTAGGGGAAAGAAAGAACCAACACCCACAAGTTGTCCTCTGACTTCTACATCCACACTGTCTTGTGTGCAGATACACATACTGCACACACACAATAATAAAATACTTGAAAATAATAATATGACGATAGTATGAACAACTCCATTTTTTTCACAAGTTCTTTTTAAACTGAGGGATTATTCACATACAGAAAAACACAGATCTTAAGTGTGGCTTTCCATCAGTTTTGACAAATACATTAATCCACAGAAATTACACCCCTGTAGAAACAAAACATTTCCATTATTTCAGAAAGTTCCGGCTGCAGGTGGAACTCAGTGGCTGAGCACTTGCCTGGCATACACAAAATCCAGGACTTGATTGCTAGGTCTACAAAAATATAAAAACAAAACAAAGTTCTGTTCTTTTGAGGCAAGAGATCACTATGTTGCCTCATTTTTATTCCTAGCACATGAGAATTGAGGCAAGATTATCACAAGTTCAAGGCCAGCTTTAGCTGAACAGTTAGACCCTGTCTCAAAACAAAACAAAGGTCTTACTTCCTGTGTGCCTCCTTCTCTTAACTCTCTTGCTTAAAATCTACATTAAAAATCTCTTTTTTTTTCTTATTTTTGTATGGCTATGTGTGTGTACAATGTGTTTATGTGCCCATATGCATTCATGTGTGAAAAATATTTAAGTTTTTTTAAATGTTTTTGGGACAGGGTCTCCCTGCAGCCCGAGCTGGCCTGGACCTCACTATGTAGACTAGGTTGGCCTTGAACTCACAGAGATCCACCTGCCTCTGCCTCCTGAGATTAAAGGCTTGGGCCACTGCACCTGGCTAAGTGGCTTTTTTCTTTCTTTCTTTTCTTTTTTTTTTTTTTTTTTCTTGTCTTTTTGAGACAGGGACTCTCTGTAGCTCCAGCGGGCCTGGAACTCACTAGACTAGGCTAGCCTCCATCTCACAGAGATCCACCTGTCTCTGTCTCCCAAGTGCTGGAATTAAAGACATGTGCCACCACACCCGGCCTAACAGCAAGTGTTCTTAACACTTAAAAAAAAAATTTTTAGTTATAGTCCCAGCACTTGGGAGACAGAGGCAGTTAGATCTCTGTGAGTTCAAGGCCAGCCTGGACTGTATAGTGAGTTCCAGAGCACCTGGGGCTACAGGGAGACTCTGACTCAAAAAAAAAAAACAATTTAGCCAGGCGTGGTGGTGCATGCCTTTAATCCCAGCACTCAGGAGACTGAGGCAGGTGGATCTCTGTGAGTTCAAGGCCAGCCTGGTCTACATAGTGAGTTCCAGGCCAGCTGGGGCTACAGGGAGACCCTGACTCAAAAAGACCAAAAAAAAAAAAAAAAACAGAAAAAAATTTGTTCCCAGCACCTACATAGCGACTAAAAACTCTAGTTCCAGGGGATCTAGTTTCTTCTCTGGCCTTTGTGGACATTGCACACATGTGGTGTACTTACAGACAACACACTTAAATACATAACATATTTTTGCAGTTTTCAGCCATGTATTTAATCCCGACACTTGGGAGGCAGAATCAAACAGATCTCTGTGAGATCAAGGCCAGTAGGGACTATAAGGAGACCCTGTCTATCAGTAAATAAACAAATAGAGAAACACAGAGAAAGAGGGAGAAAGAAAGAATGAAAGTAAGTTTCCAGAAAGAAGCATTGGATGTTATTTCCTTTGACTTAGAACAAATAAAGATGTCTCAAACAGGACTGACCAATTTTTTTTTTAATTTTTTAAAAATATTTTCTTTATTATTTTTATTTTATGTATATGAGTGTATTGCCTGCATGTATATGAGTGCACCGATGTCATGCAATGCCTCAGAGATCAAAAGAGGGCTTCAGATTCCCCTGGAACTGGAGTTAAGGATGATTTATAGCCTCCTTGTGGGTGCTAGGAATCAAACCTGGGTCCCCTGCAAGAGCAGTTAGTGCTCTTAACTGCTGAGCCATCTCCAGCCCTGACCAAATGTTTTTTGTTGTTTTTTGTTTGTTTTTTTTTTTTGGTTTTTTTCAGACAGGGTCTCCCTGTAGCCCCAGCTGTCCTGGAACTCACTATGTAGACCAGGCTGGCCTTGAACTCACAGAGATCTGCCTGCCTCTGCCTCACAAGTGCTGGGATTAAAGGCTTGCGCCACCACACCCAGCTCCAAATGTTTTTTAATTTGATAAAATTAAGATTTCTAAAGCCTGGCATGGTGATGCATATCTGTACTCGGTATTCAGAGGTTGAGCAGAAAGCTCACCATGAATTTGAGGTTGGACTGGCCTACATAGTACAACTCTGACTCAAAAATCCAAGGGAGTGTGGGATGAATTTTCATTCATTTCCAGTGATAAAAAGAGTTTGATACACTAAGAAGACCCTGGGTTTGATCCCATGCCTGCAAAATCAGAATAGTAAGTTCCATTGGCTCAGTGAGTAATGTCCTGCTACCAGGCCTGATGACCTGAGTTTGATCCATGAGGTCCACATGGGGAGGAAAGAACCAGCTCCCACAAATTGTCCTTTGACCTCCACATGCGTTATTGACACGTATGTGTGTATAAATGCAATTTATTTGGTTTTTTAATTTATTTTTTTGTCTTTTTGAGACGGTCTCCCTGCAGCCCCAACTGGCCTGGAACTCACAGAGATCCACCTGCCTCTGTCTCCTCAGAGCTGGGATTAAAGGTATCCACCACCACACCCGGCTTATAAATGCAATTTTAAAAAACATTGCCAGACCCAGTGGCATACATCTTTTATCTCAGCACCCAAAAGGCAGACACAGGCTGATCTCTGTGAGATCGAGACCAGCCTGATCTATATAATGACTACCAGGCTGGGCCTACAGAGAGACCCTATCTCAAAAAAAAAAAAAAAAAAATCAAAAATTAAAAACAAGGGACTGGAGAGATGGCTCAACAGTTAAGATCACTGGGTGCTGTTGCAGAGGGTCCAGATTCAGTTCCCAGCACCCACATGGCAACTGTCAGTAACTCCAGTTCCAGGGGATTCGACCCCCTCTTCTGGCTTCGGTGAGCATTGCATGACATGGGTTCACCTAACATCCATGTAGACAAAACAGTCATACAGGGTACTGGGGAGGGGGCTCAGTGTGGTTGAGAGTACTTGCTCTTCCAGGGTACTTGGATTTAATTCCCAGGTACCTAAGGTGGCATCTCTGTCACTCTCTTCAGGCCTCTGTGGGCACTGCACATATATCAGTATACATAAAGGCAAGCAAAGTACTTGTACAAATTAAAATGTCATTAAAAAACACTCATACACATAAAAACAAATTTATAAAAATTAAAAGAGAATGTAAATGCAGGTGTGGTGGCACACATCTTTAATCTGAGCACTTTGGAAGCTTAGGGAGGAGTATAGCAAATTCTGTCCATTCTGGGAGCTGCGTAGCATACATAGTATAGATTATATTGCCTCTGGCTCCATTTATTTGAGGTCCAAAATGTGTAGAACTAATACATAGTGATAGAGATGAACATAGTAGCAGTCCTTTGGGGTGTGAGTATTGACCAGGGAGCTTTTCTGAGAGGTTGCACAGATGCAAAACTTCAGCAAGATATACATAAGATTTATGGTATGGGGAAGGATTTGCTTATTTGGCTGTTTTGTTTTGTTTGAGTTGAGGGAGTTGTTTTGTTTTCTGGAGATAGAATCTAGATCCTCATGTATGCTAGGCAAATGTTCTGTATTGGTTTTTGACACAGGGTTATTTAGCCCTGGCTGGCCTCAGACTTGCTATGTAAGCTTTAGCTACTCCTGATCCTCTACTTCAAAATACTGAAATTACAGACATGTGCCACCGCTCTCTGTTGGTTTGTATATGTATTGTTATGTTATGAAACAAGGTCTCATATAGCTCTTGGCTGGCCTGACACTCACTAAATAGACTAGGGTGTCTTCAAACTTACAAAGAGTTCTGCCTACCTCTGTCTTCCAAGTGTACATACATTAAAGGTATGTGCCACCATACCTGGCCCTTGTTTTGTTTGGTTTTGTTTCTTTGGTCGTTTTGAGATAAGGTCTCCGTGTAGCCCCAGCTGGCCTGGAGCTTTCTATGTAGACCAGGCTGGCATAAATCTCACAGAGATGTGCCTGCCTTTTTCTGCCTCCCAGTGCTGGGATCAGAAGCATGTGCCACCATACCAGGCTTGTTTTGTTTTAGGCAGGATCTCTCTTGAGCTTGTGATCCATTCTGCCTCTGCCTTTCCTCTGACTCAGAGTGCCAGCCACCTGACAGTGCCCAGCACAAAATTTGTATATTTTACTCTGTTGTGTCAAAAATGTTCTTTTTAAATACAAGTCAGTATGAAATAAATTTTTAACTGTTACAGTAGAGACCAAGTGTAAGCAAACTGGGCATGTCTGGGCAATATACAACTTTATTTTCAAATATGTATGGAGGGTTTTTATCTAGAAACCTGAGTTAACCAACCCCTAGTCCAGTTACAAATGCTGTCTGAAGCTTTGTACGGTGGCAGTATCATAGCCAGTGAGGTGTATTCAAAGAGCTAATTAAAATCTTTTTTCAGTACCCTGCCATGATGACTTGAAATACAGCTGGCATTAGTAATTACTGGCAATCTCCACAGAGAATGAACATTTCTGGTTTGAAAATTAATAAAGAATTTGGAGAGGCAGTGGATGTTCTGTGAAAGGCTCAGTAGTGCACGCCTGCAGTCCCAGCACTAGGGAGTTTGAAGTAGGAGGATCAGCATGAATTTGAAGTCAACCTAGGCTACATAAGGAGACTGCTTGAACCTGGTGTGGTGGTGAACACCTTTAGTCCCAGCTCTCAGGAGGCAGAGGCAGGAGGAACTCTGTGAGATCCAGGCCAGCTTGGACTACATAGCAAGTTCCAGGCCAGCTGAGGCTACAGGAAACCCTTTAAAAAAAAAAAAAAAAAAAAAAAAAAAGTCACAGGGATAGAAAAGAGAATCAATGACATAAGGAGACTCGGCTCCTTGGGGAAAAAAAAATCTGGATAAAATTTTTTAAAAAGACCATAAAAGGAAATAAAAGGGCTTAGGACTGGGGCTCAGTGGTAGAGTTCTTGCCCAGCATGCTTGAAGCCCTAGCTTCAATCCCCAGTACTACCTAAAAAATAAGAAATCCCATCTTTTAATTCTATTCTGTTCTTTCATACAGGTCTGTTAACGGACTGTACCGTATTGGACTGTATGCACTTAAAGATATGCCAGCTGGGACTGAACTTACTTATGATTATAACTTTCATTCCTTCAACGTTGAAAAACAAGTAAGAATTTAAATTCCAGAAGGCTGAACATTGTAGCTTGCAACACTACCTAATAGAGCCTTTCAGTAATTCTTATTTATTTAGAACTAGTTACATGGAAGAAGATTGTTGTGACCCTTTACTCCATCTCCATCGTCTATGCTGTGTCTCAGTTACTGTTTCAGAGTGCTCTTGTTTTTGTTCTTCACTCTTTTTTTTTTTTTTGAGACAGAGTTTCCTGGAACTTTCTTTGTAGACCAGGCTGACCCTCAATCGCCTGCTTTTGCCTCCCTGGTGCTGGGATTAAAGGTGTATACTACCACTCCCAGCTCAGTCATTCAGTCCTTCTGTCCTTTCCCTCCCTCCCTCCCCTCCTTCTTTTCTTTTTTCTTTCTTTCTTTTTTTGAGACAGGGTCTCCCTGTAGCCCCAGCTGTCCTGGAACTCACTATGTAGACCAGGCTGGCCTTGAACTCTCAGAGATCTGCCTGCCTCTGCCTCTGCCTCCTGAGTGCTGGGATTAAAGGCGTGCACCACCACGCCTGGCAGTCATTTCTTTTTGTAGTAACATTTTCCTCATGGTTAATGGCTTCCGTTTTGATTTTGGTTTGGATTTTTAGTTTTTAGTTTTTGGTTTTTGGGTTGGGGTTGGGGTTGGGGGGGTAGTGTGTGTTCTTAGTGTTTGGGTTTTTGCTTCTTTTTCTTTTAGTTTAAGGTAAGGTCTTGCTGGCTACTGACAATTCCTGGAAATTATGTAGACCAAACTGACCTCAAACTTGCAGTAGTCCTCCTACCTCTGCCTCTCAAGTATTAGGATTACAGCATGTGCCACCACTGAAAGGTTTTCTTGTTTATTTTGGTTGGTTTGTAACAAGGTCTCAGTTATCTCAGACTGACCCCAAAACTTACTGTGTAACCTGTCATATCCTGACTTTACCTCTGACGTGCTTTAGATTATAAATGTGCATCACTACTTCAGTGGAAAACCCAGTTTTATTGTTTATTTCCCCTCCTCTCCATCCCCTATTCCTCCTGCTCCCACCCTTCCCTCCTCCTACCCCCGAGCTTCCTCCTCCATCTCCCATTCTTCCATCTTCTGAGTTTGAACAGGCTGGCTTCAAACTTGTTATGGTATAAGGCCAGGTGTGGTGGTGCATGCCTTTAATCCCAGCACTTGGGAGGCAGAGGCCAAGGCCGAGACAAGGGCATTTCTGTGACATTGAGGCCCCTCTGTGGCTATAGAGTGACGATGCCTCAAAATAATAAAAACAACAAATAAACAGCAATAACAAAAAAGACAGCTTGCTGTGTTGCAGAGGATGACCTTGAACTCATCATCATGCTTCTGTCTCCCCAAGTACTAGAATTGCAGGAAAGGCTTCAATGAGTTTTCATTTTATATTTCAGTTCCTTGATTCATGCTTAACTTTTGGTGTCCAAATGCTCAGGCAGCCTCTTTGAACTTGTAAATGAGACTGCAAGCTTAAAAAATATTCTCTTTTCTTAAAAGCAACTTTGTAAATGTGGCTTTGAGAAGTGCAGAGGAATCATCGGAGGCAAAAGTCAACGAATGAATGGACTCACCAGCAACAAAAGCAGTCAGCCTATGACCACACATAAAAAATCTGGACGGTCTAAAGAGAAGAGAAAGTCTAAGCACAAGCTGAAGAAAAGGGTGAATAATAACCTCATAGGTTTCCTGAAACTTGCAGTTACTAGAATGAGGGGATTAACTGGGGTAGCATCTTAAGATGGGTTTTATAGTTTGAGAGGTGATTTCTGAGTCTTTGTTTTTCCCTGTGGTCTCATCTCTCTGTATTTATAGAGAGGCCATCCTTCTGAAGAACCCAGTGAAAACATCAATACCCCAACAAGACTGACTCCCCAGTTACAGATGAAGCCAATGTCCAATCGAGAGAGGTAAAAAGGTTTTTTTGTTACTGGGTTCTCTTTAAATTATGTAATTTGGGGGCTGGAGAGATGGCTCAGCAGTTTAGAACACTGACTGTTCTTGCAGAAGACCCAGGTTCAAATCCCAGCACCCATATGGCAGCTAACAGCTGTCCATAACTCCAGTTCCAGGGGATCCAACAGCCTCTTCTGTCCTCCTCAGGCATTGCACGACACGGGTGCACTTACCTACATGCAGGGCATACATGCATCCACATAAAATAAAATAAGAATTATGTGATTTTCTTGTCAGATTGTTATTGAACTTGGGGCTGGAGAGACGGCCTAGTGGTTAAGAGAGCCAGCTGCTCTTGCAGAAGATCCAGGTTCAGTTACCAGTACTCATATGGTAGCTAACAACCACCTGTAACTCTGGTTCCAAGGGATCCAATGCCCTTTTTTAACCTCTGCAGGCATTTTACACATATGGTACATTTAAAACACTCATACACATAAAATATATATAAATACTAAAATATTTAAATGTTATTGAACTTATTGTAGTTAATTTTTTTACATGAGCTCTTAATCCAAATCCACCTGTACGCAACAGGGTGTGTGTCTATATGTGTATATATGTGCTTAATTAAAGATATAATTCAGCCTTTAATCCCGCCACTGAGGAGGCAGAGGCAGGTAGATTTCTGTCAGTTGGAGATCAGCCTGATCTAGGGAGTTCCAGGCCAGCTGGTACTATAGGGAGATCCTGTCTTGAAAAAGAAAACAGAGAGATAATTAAGCAGCTTTCAGTATTCTCTCTTTGTCCTGTACATTTACTGTTTTTACTATGATACGCTGTGGGGAGTTTCTTTTCTAATCCTATTTGGTGTTCTGTGTGCTTCTTATATTTGTATGGGTATGTCTTTCCTTAATTTTGAGAAATTCTCTTCTACAATCCTGTTTATGATCTGGTCAATACCATTAACCTGAAATTCTTCTCTTTCTTCTATGCCTAGGATAGATAAATAATGGTCTTTTGATGGTGTCCCACATTTCCTGCATATTCCATTCCTATTTTTTTTTAATTTTTCATAATCTTTGCTTAAGCAGTCCAGTTCTTCAACTTTATCCTCCAGTGTTGATACTGTTTTCCATTTCATTCATTCTATCAGTGAGGCTTTCTCCTTTCTCCTGTTGTTTAAAATTGGCTTACTGAAATTTTTCACTTCGTTCTTCATTTCAGCCTGAGTTTTCTTCAAAATATTTAATATTTTATTTATTTACTATTTTTTATTTTATTTTATGTATATGCGTGTATTGCCTGCATGTAGGTAAGTGCACCCGTGTCGTGCAGTGCCCATGGAGGACAAAAGAGGCCATTGGATCCCCTGGAACTGGAGTCACAGACAGTTGCTAGCTGCCGTGTGGGTGCTGGGATTCGAACCCTGGTCTTCTGCAAGAACAGTCAGTGTTCTTAACTGCTGAGCCATCTCTCCAGCCCCTTCTTCAATATTTATATCTCTTTTGTGAATTCAGCCAGAAGTTTATCCCTATCTTCTTTTAGTACTTTTATTTGTTTGTTTGTATGTTCATTAAATTTGTTTAAATCTTTGATCATGTTTATGATCTTTTAAATTCTGTGTCCTGGGTTATCGCTAGGGGATTCTCCTGGTAGAACTCTTCTATAGGACTGGTGGTGTTTGGTGGGAACATAGTATTGGTTTTCCATATTGTTATTTTTCTGTTGCGATTTTGGCATGTGGATTTCTTTTATTGTTTGTGATTCTTATATGAAACTCAAGCCTTCCTTTGTTGAGTTGAAGTCTGTTTCTGTTTGTATTGTTGGTGTGCCTTTGTTGTTTTCTTATTGGGTATGTAAGGCTGGTTGGTCTAGGATTCAGGTTCTCGTTTGATTTTATATTGGAGGGACCAGGTGGCTTCAGTCCAGCTACTCAGAAGCTCCCCAGAGGCCCAAGACAGGTGCCAGTCAGGTACTCTCAGGTTACCTCCTAAGGTCTGGGTCCCTGTGAGTGAGCAGTCACAGCACAATTTGGGAAGCTCGCCCAATTTAGGTGCTCTTAGACAGTCTGCAAGGGTCTAGGCCCCTACTAAAAGGCAGAGAAGCCTAGACCTGGGGTGGTGGGATGGACTGCAGGTGTTCTGATGTAGGGGGTGGGCATGGCATGAATTGGGAGGTTCACCACCATGTGGAGGCCAGCTCTAGGCACTCAGGCAGTGTGCAAAGGTCTGGGCCCCTACTGAAGAGCAGAGAAGCCTAGCCCTCGAGCAGTGGTAGAGGCCACATGTGGTCCCAGTGTAGGAGGGATCTTTCTTCTTCAGACAGGGTCTCCCAGTAGCTCCAGTTATCCTGAAATTCCTTATGTAGACCAGGATCACCTCTCACAGAGAGCCACCTGCCTCTGACTTCCAAGTGCTGGTATTAAAGATGTGTGGTTTAATTTTTTAATTTTATATGTTATGAGTGTTTTGCCCATATGTATGTAAATGTTCCCATACATGCAATTCCCAAAGAGGCCAGAAGAAGGTGTTAGATCCCCTGGAACTAGTGTTTCAGATGGTTGTTAGCTACCATGTAGATGTTGGGAAGGAAGCCCAGGGCCTTTGCAAGAGCAGCCAGTGCCGTTAATTGCTGAGCCATCTCACCAACCCAGTTTGTTAAGATTTTTTGAGACAGGGTCTCAGTATGTAATCACTAGCTGACCTTATACATGCATCACCACAACTGGCTACCATTAGTATATCTTATTGTACATTAAGAATAATATTGAGGGGGCTGGAGAGATGGCTTAGCAGTTAAGAACACTGGTTGCGCTTGCAGAAGACCACAGGTTCGAATCCCGACACCCACATGGCAGCTAACAACTGTCCGTAACTACAGTCCCAGGAGATCCAACAGCTTCTTCTGTCTTTTTTTTTTTTTTTTTTTTTTTTTTTTTTAAAAAAAAAAAAAAAAAAAAAAAAAAAAAGAGGACGATAAATCTTTCACTGTGAACTTGAACTCTCAGAGATCCTCCTGCCTCTGCCTCCCAAGTGCTGGGACTACAGACGTGTGCCACCATGCCCGGCCCAACAGCCTCTTCTGTCTTTAGCTGGCAATGTATGGCACGAGTGCACTTACCTATATGCAGGCAATACACGCAAGCACATAAAATAAAAATAGTAAATAAAATGTTTAAAATTTTTTTTAATTAAAAAAAAAAGGGCAAAAGAAGTTACATAGGGCCAGGGAGATGGTTTAGCAGATAAAAGCTCTAGCTATGCAAACCTGATAACCTGAGTTCAAATCCTGAAACCCATATAAAAAGCCAGTATGGGCCGGGCATGGTGGCACATGCCTTTAATCCCAGCATTCGAGAGGCAGAGGCAGGCGGATCTCTGTGAGTTCAAGGCCAGCCTGGTCTACATAATGAGTTCCAAGCCAGCTGGGGCTACAGGGAGACCCTGTCTCAAAAAGACTCCCTCCCCCGCCAAAAAAAAAAAGAAGCCAGTGTGGTAGCCAGGCGTGGTGGCGCACACCTTTAGTCCCAGCACTCAGGAGGCAGAGACAGGGGCAGGGGATCTCTGTGAGTTGGAGGCCAGCCTGGTCTACATAGTGAGTTCCAGGCCAGCTGGAGCTACAGGGAGACTTTGTCTCAAAAAGACCAAAAAAAGAGAAAAGCCAGTGTGATGCACATCTAAAAATCTTAGCACTTCTTCGGTGAGATGAGAGACAAGATAGGCAAGTCACCTGGAAGCTCATGGGCCAGCTAGCCTAGAGTACACAGCACAGCAGTAAACAGCTCAAGAGAGACTGCCTAAATAAGGTGGAACTTGAGGATTGACTCCTGAAAGTTTTCCTCTGACTTCCACAAACACCATGGTACACTTGCATCCTCATTCATATACATATGTACATACTTGATACATAAATATTTAGTTACATAAAGCTTTAATTTTTATTATTGTGCATGTGTGTATATGGTGTGAGTACATACTATGACAAGCATGGGGGAGGGGGTTAAAGGACTTCTTTCAAGAGTGAGTTCTCTTCCTCCACCATGCAATATGGGGACCAAACAGTTGTTCAGAGGATTGTTGTATAGGCTTCATTAAACTGCCAGAGGAATCCATGTTATAGAAAAAGTTAAGATTTACTGCTTTATTGACATTATCAAAGAATAATAAAAAGCATATTTAGAGACATGAAAATGGTCAGTAGATAGCAGCACTTGCTGCTCAAATATGAGAACCTGAGCTCAGAATCCACATAAAAAACCTAGGCTTGGCTACACATGCCTGTAACTAAATTGCTGGGGTTGTGGAGACAGGAAGATTCCTGGGGGTTTCTGGCTGACCAGCCTCACCCCAAAACATTGACCTCCAAGTTCAGTGAAAGATCCTGTCTCATGGGAACCAATCAGAGAGTGATAGAGCAAGACATTGACATCCTCCTCTCCCCTCCCCATGAATGTTCATGGGTGCACACAACCCCATGTTTGTGCATGCACATACACACAAAGTGTGTTTAGGTCACCTTTCTCTTCCCTATATTTGAGTAAGAACTGTCCCTATCAAAACCAAACAAGGGTAGACTCCTAGATGACTCAAGGAGTAAGAGGCCTTACCTCACAACTGAAATGACCTAAGTTTGATCCCTGGGGCTCACGTGGATAGAAGGAGAGAATGGGCTTCCAAAATTTGTTCTGTGTTCCACATGTCTGCATGCCGTGGCACACACAGACAGAGTCATCATAATAATAATAGTTTGGGATTTTGTTTTGTTTTAAGGAAACCATGACTAGGGATGTGGCTCACTTCATAGAGTGCCTACCTAGTATACGGGGAGTCTTAGGTTGGATCCCAAGCACCACATAAAACTGGGTATGCTGGCACAATCCTGTAATCTCAGCATTTGGGAGATAGAGGCAGGTCTATCAAAAGTTTAACGTTGTGTCTGTCAAAATGGCTTAGCAGATAAAAGCCATTCATGTAAGCCTGGTGACCTGAGTTGGATCCCCAGAACCCGTGAAAGGTGGAAGACAATAACTCTACAAAGTCATCTTCTAACCTCCGCTTGCTCATTGTGACCCTCCCACCCCATCACACATATATCATGCATGCAGAGACATACACAATATTAAATTAGAGAGGGGATTGAGACAGGGTCTCACTATATAGCCCTGGCTGGTCTAGAACTTGCTATATAGAATAGACTGCCTTGAATTCACAGAGATCTACCTGCCTCTGCCTCCAGAGTGCTGGGATTAGAGGTATATGCCACCATGCCTAGCTGTAACAATCTTTTTTTTTTTTTTCCCTGGTCTTACTGAGACAGGGTCTCCCTGTAGTCCCAGCTGGCCTGGAACTCACTATGTAGACCAGGCTGGCCTAGAACTCACAGAGATCCACCTGCCTTTGCCTCCCTAGTGCTGGGATTAAAACCATGTACCACCATGCCTGGTCCAGCTATAACAATCTTTAAATAGTTTGGTTTGCTGTTGTATTATTTGCCTGCCCATATCACTTAACAGCAACTTGTGTTGAGTAGATATGTAATAAATATTTAGCTGTATTAATAGATAAGGAACTTCCTTTTCTCTTTCATTGCAGGAACTTTGTATTAAAGCATCATGTGTTCTTGGTCCGGAACTGGGAAAAGATTCATCAAAAACAGGAGGAAGTAAAGCACACCAGTGATAATATTCATTCTTCATCATTGTACACCCGCTGGAATGGTATCTGCCGAGATGATGGGAATATCAAGTCTGGTAAGTCATGGGAAACTTTCCTAGTAATTCCCTAAAATTATCCCTAAATGATTATTACTTTTAATGTTTTTGGGAGTAGGGGGCCATGGGCATGTTGTGTGGGGTGTGGGCATGGGTGCCATAGTTTACTTGTTAAGGTCAAAAGACTATTTCATAGAGTTGATTCTCTCCTACCTTTACATGGGTTCTGAAACTGAACTGAGATCACCAAGCTTACATGGAGCAGGCACCTTTACCTGCTGAGTCACCTGACTAGCCCCTATTTTAGTTACTTTTAAACTGGGATTTTTTTGTGTGGTTTTTTTGGGGGTGTTTTTTTGTTTTGTTTTGTTTTTTTTTTTTTTTTTTTTTTTTTTTTTTTTTTTTTTTTGTCTTTTTTTGTCTTTTTGAAACAGGGTATCCCTGTAGCCCCAGCAGACCTGCAGCTCACTATGTAGACCAGGCTGGCCTTGAACTCACAGAGATCCACCTACCTCTACCTCCCAAGTGCTGGGATTAAAGGCATGTGCCAGCCCACAGTTCACACAAAGATTCCCTCAGTGTGAACCCAAAATTTAGAACACAAATTACAAGCATCAGTCATTAATAATCTGTCCATTCTAGCTCTTCAACTTCCCTGTCCCTATTCCATAGAACCTCACCACCCTCAAAAACATCAACTACAGGGGTCAGAGAGATGGCTCAGCAGTTAAGAGCACTGACTGTTCTTGCAGAAGACCTGGGTTTGAATTCCAGCACCTACATGGCAGCTAACAACTGTCTGTAACTCCAGTTCCAGGGGATCCCACAGCCTCTTCTGTCCTCCGTGGACATTGCATGACACGGGTGCACTTACTTACATAGTGGAATAACACTAAAATACATAAAATAAAAATAATAAAATATTTAAAAATAAATAAGCCGAGCATGGTGGTGCACGCCTTTAATCCCAGCACTCGGGAGGCAAGAGGCAGGCAGATTTCTGTGAGTTCAAGGCCAGCATGGTCTACATAGTGACCATGGGACAGCTGGGGCTATGGGGAGACCCTGTCTCAAAAGACTGACTGACTGACTGAATGAATGAATGAATGAATACAAAAAAAACTACAGTCTGAAGTAGTCCACAGAAATGATGGTAGAATATAACTTGCATGCCAAGTAAACAGTGATGCCAAATGTACTATAGAAAGAATGAATATCATTGCTTTAAACTCAAAGAGTTTTGTTTTGTTTTTTTTTAATGTAACTGAGTGTGTTGCCTGTATGTATATATGTGCACTTATGTTATACAGTGCCTGCAGAGATCAGAAGAGGGCATCAGAATCCCCTGGTACTGGAGCTACGGACAGTTGTTAGCTGCCATTTGGGTGGGTGCTGGAAGTCGAACCCCGGTCCTCTGTAAGAGCACCTAGTGCCCTTGACTACTGAGCCATCTCTCTAGCCCCAAATTCAAAGGCTTTTTAACCCTCATTCAAATAAGTACTGTATACACAAAGCATCTGATTTCCTTTCTCTAGCCTAAAACAGGATATAGTGCAAGATGTGGTTCTCCATGCATTTACTACCAGTACTTGACAGTACAAGCAGAAAGATCTGAAGTTCAGGGCCAGTCTCAGCCATATGGTGAGTCTAAGGCCAGCCTAGACTACATAAGATCCTGTCTTAAACATAGACATACACATGGGGCTGCAGAGATGACTCAGTGGTTAAGAACACAGGTTGCTCTTGAAGAAGACTGGACTCTGTTTCCAGTACCCACATGGGAGCTAACACCCATCCCAGTTACAGGAAATGTAACACCCTCTTTTGGCCTCCAGAAGCCTTGTACAACATAGATGCCCTTAACATACATGCAGGCAAGAGACTTGTACACATAACGTAAAAATAAATCACAATAAAAGGAAATTTACCCAGAATGAACCAGGTATGGTGATACTACCTTTAATCTCAGTACTTAGGAGGCAGAGACAAAAAGATTAGGTGTTTAAAATTATTCTTGGCTAAATAGTAAAATCTAAGCCAGCCTGAGGCTACATAAAGACAGTCTCAAAATGTAAAAAGCCATGGGGGCTAGAGAGATGGTTCAGCAGGTAAGAGCACTAACTGCTCTTGCAGAGGGCCTGGGTTCAGTTCCCAGCACCTCCATGGTGGCTAACGTCCATCCTTAACTCCAGTTCTAGAGAATCCAGTGCCTTTTTCTGGCCTCTGAGTGTACTGCACACATGGGTGGTACACTTAAATGCACACAAAATAGTTATACACATAAAAATGAATTTTTTTAATAAAATAAAATTTAAAATAACATGATAAAAGGCCAGGGACAGTAACTAATACTTGCAGTTTCAGCACTAGAGAGCCAAAGCAAGCAGACCACCGTGGGTTTGAGGCCATCCTGGGATACATAGTAAATTTCAGACAGCTTGGGCTACAGAGTGAGACCTTGTCTCAAAAAAAGAAAAAAATTGCTGGGTGTGGTGGTGCATGCCTTTAGTCCCAGCACTTGGGAGGCAGAGGCAGGCAGATCTCTGTGAGTTCAAGGCCAGCCTGGTCTACTTGTTGAGTTCCAAATCACCTGAGGGTATAGGGATACCCTGTCTCAAAAAGACCAAATAAAGAAAAAAAATTATCCAGAAGCCAAGTATGGTAGCACATGTCTGTAATATCAGCATTCTAGAGACACAGACAGAAGGATCAGGTATGCAAGGTCATCCTCAGCTACATAGCAAATTTAAGACCAACCTGGGCTACATGAGGTCCTATCTCATAAGATAAGAAGAAAGAATTTTTGTTTTTTGGTCTTTTTTTTTTAATGCTTTGAAGAATTATTATTATTTCTTTAATCATTTAAAGAAATTTTTTAATAACTACATGATCAGAAGAAGCATTTCAGTACAGCTTTAACATATTCAGTAACACACTCCAGAGCAAGAGTACATCTCTTTCACAAGTGGCTGCAAGTTTCTAGGTTCACAGTTGAGTTAATACAGTTACACAATATTGAACTCAGTATAAGCCCTGTAAGACATAAAATTGGATGAGTTTTTAACCTTTAAAAAAGTTCTCCATTTCATTTTAGAATATATTGTTCCTTGCTACTAACACTAAGATGTTGGTGCATGCACTTCTAATCTGTATGTACCTGATGATTACTAGTCATAATCGGTTGTACTTGGATCCATGGCACCTGTGTATGTCTATAAAGTCATTGGGTAGATTTCAGTGGTAATGTTTATCACCTCTACTAATTAACATGACGTAAATTTCCATGCTTCCTCCTCAAATATAATACATTTTTTAAAATTTGTTTGTGTGTGTGTGTGTGTGTGTGTGTATGTGTATATATCACACAGAACATCCCAAACCATCTTATTCAGCTATTCACCCACTTCCCAGATAGCACCCTCCCATAGCCTTACCCACTAGAGCCCTTATACTCTGATATCCCTGCTACTGTCTGCTGTGTTGTCAGCACCCCTATCCATTCCCCACTACTTGCCCTTCTGGTGAATCTAGTCAGCCTATCTAAAGGTCTTTGTTTTAGGAGGATCTGCTGTTCCTTATCTAGCAGCAATCAGTTGTCAGTATTCCTTTAGATGAGATTGGGGTCTGCTGTTCATTTTCCCAATTCTGTGTTGGGTTATTATCTGGGACTCCCTTTGGCCACCCTGGCCAACAACTCAAAAGAAGGTATCTCCTATCTGGCATTGTTGCTTGTTATGTAGCCTTTAGCTATGCCTGTGGACTCTTAAGAAATTTTATTGGCCCCTTTAATCTTTGGTTACACTTTCCTTTTGTGTGTTTAAGGCCATCCAGTTGGCCCAGATAAACCAATTTATTTTTACTATTAAAGTTGTTTGAGGGTCTGTTCCTCAGGGGTCACATGGGCTTGGGAGGAGCCCCAGGCTCCTTTCTTTTACCAGTTCTGCCTATGTGAAGATAAGTCAAAGGTCCTGCCCGACCATGGTTGCTTTCGAAGCATGGAGGAAATGATTCCTCTGTGTTGACCCTCTTTGTAGACTGGACACTGGTTCAAGTCCATTTGGTGGGGTCTCCTTGGCCTCCTTGATCAAGAGGACAGGTGACAATTACAGAACATTTTGAGAGACGCTCATTAGTTCCCTGGAACTAGTCGACCTAGGAGGGTAAGGAGCAAAAACTGTCCTTATGTCCCTCTGACCACATTAGTATAGGTACTTTTAATTACTGTGTGCCATGCAGATAAATTTTGGGCAAAGACTAATTGTTCTCAGGTAAACCTTACCTAGACATATATTTCTTGATCTGGTGTGTATAATTTGTCAGTAGGTTGTTGGACTAATATGTTTCCTTCTGGTTTTTAAAACTAGCTAGGCATTATTTATCTCTTAGATAAACCTTATCTAGACTTATATTTCTTGGTCTGCTATGTATAATTTGTCAGTAGGTGGTAGGAGTAATATAGTTCCCTCTGGTTTTCAAAACTAGCTAGGCATTATGTATCTCTCACATTGTCTCACCCCTCCATCATGATTTTCCCACTTAAGGTGCCCCCATTTCCCTCCTTTCTCCCTTAATAATACCCTTCTCCTACGGGCCTGTCTCTCTTGAGCTCCTTCCTTTCCCTTTATCCCCTAGGTTCCTTGTATACCCTTCCCTTACCCCTCCCTTAAACTAACCCAATTTTTACCCATATCTCCCTTATTAAGGCCTGTTTCCTACTGTTCTTCTCTTTCAGGTTCTTTCTTTTCCTTTACCTCCCTGTTTCCTTTCCATTATCCTGGTT